ACCATGCCCGGCTAATTTTTTGTATTTTTAAGTAGAGACAGGGTTTCTCCATGTTGGCCAGGCTGGTCTAGAACTCCTGATCTCAACCCCTGACCCCCCACCCTGCCTCAGCTTCCCAAAGTTCTGGGATTACAGGCGTCAGCCACCGCCCCTGGCCTGTGCTCCCAGCTTTTAACTAGAAAAAGGGCAGATATCAGTGCTAGAGTTTAACAGTCTCCTGGCCAGGAGTAGTGGCTATATTCTTTGTGTTGGGATAGATCCTCTAGGGTCAGTGTCTAGTGACAATGGCTCCGATCTCCCTAGGCCTGATTTTCACGGCCCCTTTGTGGCCCTAAAGCAGATGGTGTCATTCTTGAGCATCAGACACAAATGGGAGGTGTGGGGGAGGTTGAGTCTGAGAGGAGAACCAGTAAGGGGGAAATAAGCACAAACTCATTTCATGCTGATTCAGGCTTTCTTCCACCCCTTAATACTAAGGAGTGCCTGGGAAGTGTGGGTAGCAGCTGCAGCAGTATAGATGGCATATGCATACCCTGCCTCTGGAAGCATCTCAGCTTCCAGCCAGACCACTCTCCTCAGAGGCCTTGGGCCCCAGGAGCTGATTGTCTCTGACTGCCCATCTCTCCCTGTTCAGAGTTCCATGGGCTGGATGAGGCCACTCTACTGCGGGCTCTGCAGGCCCTACAGCAGGAACACAAGGCCGAGATCATCACCGTCAGCGATGGCCGAGGCGTCAAGTTCTTCTAGCAGGGACCTGTCTCCCTTTACTTCTTACCTCCCACCTTTCCAGGGCTTTCAAAAGGAGACAGACCCAGTGTCCCCCAAAGACTGGATCTGTGACTCCACCAGACTCAAAAGGGCTCCAGTCCTGAAGGCTGGGACCTGGGGATGGGTTTCTCATACCCCATATGTCTGTCCCTTGGATAGGGTGAGGCTGAAGCACCAGGGAGGAAAGATGTGCTTCTTGTTGCCCTACCTCCTTTCCATCCTAGACTGTCCTTGAGCCAGGGTCTATAAACCTGATACTTTATATGTGTTCACACATGTAAGTACATACACACATGCACCTGCAGCACATGCTTCTGTCTCCTCCTCCTCCCACCCCTTTAGCTGCTGTTGCCTCCCTTCTCAGGCTGGTGCTGGATCCTTCCCAGGGGATGGGGGAAGCCCTGGCTGCAGGCAGCCTTCCAGGCAATATGAAGATAGGAGGCCCACGGGCCTGGCAGTGAGAGGTGTGGCTCGACACCGATTTATGATATTAAAATCTCAACTCCCACTGCCTGCCTCTTAAATTACTGCAGTACTGGAATGGGGATGGGGAGGGCTGTGAAGTGTTGCCACCTGAGTAAATCCCAGCCTGGGAGAGGGGAGAGAAAAGAAAGCTTATGACTTTTGTAGAAGAAAAGGTCCTCCAGGGCTCTGCGGGCTCCAGTGAGCCTGTGGTTTTACATCTGCTGGGTGGGCTGTGTGGAGGAGTGCTGATGGAACACAGCTTGGGGACAGACTGCTTTCTCTCTGAATTGGAGTCACTTAAGGGCTCCCCCTTCCCTCACCGTCTCCCCCATGGAAGTCCTGAACTACTCTGAAGCCCCTCCCTCCATCCATCTGGTCTGGGTGGGGTAACTGTGGCCAAGGGGAGCTGAGGGGGTAAGCCGGATGTGGACTTTGGTTTATTGGAGACTTTGGCAAACAGAAAGGGAGGAAGGAGAGCCCACATTGCAAAAACAGCCACTCTGGCCAGGACTAGGCTGCGGCCAAGGTGGCCTGGAGGGGATGGATGACCGGGCAGTTTGGGGGAGGGACTTATCCTGGGGAGCACACACCCATTCCCTATGCAGACCAGAGGGACAACAACGTCAGACCTTTCCACTGTCCCTTCTGTATGTTCGGCCTGGGGCTACTCCGGACAGTTAGGAGGGGGTGGTGCTGCCTTATCTGGGGTGTGCAGGCCGGTGGTAGCCTGCCCCTAAGTAATCCCCCACTAGGATCCGAGTGTCTTCCTCTCCTGCACTCCCCCGCGCACAAACAGGTTTGTGCACTCTTAGTGCGGGAGGACGCACCGCGGTCTCCCACTCAGTTCTGGCCTCAGAGTGAGGCTGCGGCCGGGGGCTCGGGAAACAGGGGGGCGCGGCTGGGCGGGGCGGTGACTAAGGTTAGGGTCTGCTCGCGGGGAGCCGCTCGGAGGGGCGGCCGTAACTTTCTTCATTCAGCATCTGCTATAGATGCTGAATGAGGAACAAGGGCAGGGGATTAAGCTTGAAATCTCATTCCTTGCTGACTCAGGCTCTC